TAAATGCCCTTTGCCTCCCAGCTCTTTCCTCCATTTCCCTTGACTTTCCTCCTGTCCCCCTATCATGCTCAGTCCCCACCAGGGTTTCAGCAGTTCCTCTTTGTTACATTACTCTTGATCATGCCTTACCAGGCCTCCCACACCCACCTCACCACCAGTTTGGATCACTTGTTGTTCCCTTGTCCCTGGGTTTGTTAACACCACTTCCTTTCCCCCCCCACCTCCCCCTCTCCCATGTTTTCTCCTCCAGATTTTTCATCCAGCTCATCTTATTTAGACAGGCTTGCGGGGATAATAACATGCACTTAAACAAGACAATAATATACAGCAAACCAGTGACAAACAAAACACAACAAAAAAGAGCAACTTGTAGTTAGTTCATGGATTGTTTGATGGCCTTTAGGAGTGTTTTCCAGTCCAGCCTGTTGGGGCACCATGCCCTGGCCTCAAAGTCCACCTTCAGCATTCCCTGGGGACCTCGCTGCTCCATTCCCCCACTGTTCTGTTGCACCCCCACCCCACCCCCCAGTGTCTTGTCTCAGTGTGGCGGGATCAAATCTGGTACAGTTCCCACACTGTGTCTCCAGTGCTGTCCCCTGTAGGGCTATGGGTCAGCGAGGGGCACCATGTCTCATAGTAGGGCCGGCCATGTGGTCCTCTCTGTGGACTGGCTTGTCCAATCAGGATCATCGTCCCCATAGCCTGGTGAGCCAGGATGTGTTCCACTCTCTCCTCCTCCCCCTTCATTTGCCCCTATGTGCTCCAATCAGATATGTCCCTTTCCCGGCGCTGCAGACTCTGCCGTCCTTTGAAATAAATTCTTCTTGGGGGAGGGGTAGGTGTCCACATAGTAGTTGGGATTGGGGCTTGCCCCTCAGACCTCTCCACTGGTTCCCTACTCGTTGTTGAGTTTTAAAAGTTCTTTAAATATTCTGAAGATTAACCCTTAGCACCTATATATTTGCAGGTATTTCCTCCAATTTGTACATGGGTTTTTGTTTGTTTGGTTTTTGCTTTATCGTTTTTAAAAATATCTTTTGAAGCACAGGATTTTAAATTGCACGAAGTCTTAATTTCTTTTTTTGTTGTTTTTTTTATCGTTTAATTAGGGGCTCATACAACTCTGATCACACTCCACACGTACTTCAATTGTGTAAAGCACATCTGTACGTTCATTGCCCTAATCATTCTCAAAACATCCGTTCTCCAACCAAGCCCCTGGCATCAGCTCATTTTTCCCCTCCCTCCCCGTTCCCCCCTCCCTCATGAACCCTCGATAATTTACAAAGTATTATTTTGTCTTATCTTGCACTGTCCGACGTCTCCCTTCACCCACTTTTCTGTTGTCCATCCCCCAGGGAGGAGGTCACATATAGATCCTTGTAATCGGTTCCCCCTTTCCACCCCACCCTCCCTGTACCCTCCCAGTATCCTCACTCACATCACTGGTCCTGAAGGGATCATCCGCCCTGGATTCCCTGTGTTTCCAATTCCTATCTGTACCAGTGTACATCCTCTGGTCTAGCCAGATTTGTAATGTAGAATTGGGATCTGATAGTGGGGGTGAGGGGTGGGGGTGAGGAAGCATTTAGGAACTAGAGGAAAGTTGTATGTTTCATCGTTGCTACATCGCACCCTGACTGGCTCATGTCCTCCCCGAGACCCTTCTGTAAGGGGATGTCCAGTGGCCTACAGATGGGCTTTGGGTCTCCACCCCGCACTCGCCCCCTCATTCACAATGATGACTTTTTGTTCTGATGATGCCTGACACCAGATCCCTTCGACACTTTGTAATCATACAGGCTGGTGTGCTTCTTCCATGTGGGCCTTGTTGCTTCTGAGCTAGATGGCCGCTTGTTTATTTTAAGCCTTCAAAACCCCAGATGCTATATCTTTTGGTAGCCGGGCACCATCAGCTTTCTTTACCACATTTGCTTATTCACCAGCTTTGTCTTCAGCAATTGTATTGGGAAGGTGAGCATCATAGAATGCCAATTTAATAGAACAAAGTGCTCTTGCATTGAGGGAGTACTTGCATGGAGGCCCAATGTCCATCTGCTGCCTTAATACTAAGCCTATAAATATATGCACATAGATCTATTTCCCCATCCTCATATAAATATATTTACATATGTACCTGCCTTCATCTAGACCTCTGTAAATGCCCTTTGCCTCCTAGGTCTTTCTTCTATTTCCTTTGGTAGTCTTAATTTCTTTATTTGTTTTTCTTTTGTAGTTCTTGCCTTTGTCATAACTAAGATTTCCTTGCCAAATGCAAAATGATAAGGATATTCCCGTGTGTTTTCTTTTAGGAGTTAGTTTTTGTTCTTAACATTTGGGTATGACCCATTTTGAGTTAAATTTTATATGCATTGTGAGATGGGGTCCACTTACACACTTCACTATTTAAAGACTCATAGTGTTTGAACAGTATTTTGAAGAGTTCAGGTGTTTGATTAAGCGGAGTAATGGATACTACAGAGTTCTGTGATATTGTATCCTAATAAAATGAACTAAAAATCTTTCTAAGTTTAAAGATGAAAATATTTTCTATCATGCTATCATTTGTTTAAGTAAAAAACAACCAAATTTTTATTTAAAATTTTCATTTAAATAACCTTTAGCATTGCTATCTGCTATTCCTCTTTGGGCCTCTTATGTATATAACACTCTTTTGGAACAATAAAGAGGTATTTTGCTTTTTAGGGAATTAGAAAAGGATCCTAGGTGCTTGCTGTTGTTCTAGAAAGCAGACAGACTTTGGTATGTAGCTCCAAAATCCAAGTACTGAGTGTCTAGCTTCAGTCACTGGGTTTTGCTTGTTTTCTAAAAGGAAGCTGGTAGTGGTAAATGATCCATTTTTATTTTCATTCCTGTTCTCCTGCGAATAGACTGGCTATTAGAAAATGCCACGAGGGCAGAATAATGAGCGGCTCTCCTGCCCCTGAGCCCAGACTTCAATATGCTTAGCTAGGTGGAGAGAGAATTTGATCAAGGAAAAAAAGAAAGAAAGTTTTCACTTGGCTAATTTGGGACTCGTGTCTTTTCTTAGAGTTAGAGGGTACCCTGAACCAAAGGCTAAGTGACTACCAATTTTACAGCAGCCACCCCACACTTGCACCCCTGGTAGTCCCTTAGAAAAGGTTCCTAGTGGAATTGTGGACTACCAAATAGGTCGAGCTAGAGGAGCAAGCCATCTTCCTGGCTCTTGTCATCAAGTTTCTGCCATGCTTCTAGCAGCCATGGGTCTCTGGTTCAGTAGATGTCTGCTGTCTCTTCACAGGCTAGCAGATCTCCGAGGGAGGAGTAGTCTCGAGTCAGTTCCAAACATGGAGGTGACCGTGGCACAGATTCTGCTGAAGCCCTTAAGTCTTGCACATGGTCCAATAACGCTGTGAGTCAGAGTAGACCAATAGTAGTGAGTTAGTTATAGGGTTCCTCATGCAATCCAGAGGCAAGTAAATTTTAAATAGGCTTTCCCCCAAATCAGAAAGTACAGGTTGTTTTTCCCTTTGTAAAAAACCACGATAAATTTTCAGGATTAACTAGAAATGCAGTTATGGTTTACTTGCCTGTCACCTTTCTCGGCTCTGATACCTCTCTGCTATTTCTTCATCACAGCCTCTCCAGACTAGCTTGTTTCCTACACCCTCACCTGGTCACCGCCTCACTTATCTCCCCTCCACACTAGAGCATTCTAGAGAGTTAATTCTTCCTTTAAACTGAGCTGTATACTTGATGACCTGTATACATAGGCTGACACAAAGGTTTTTGGTTTTTTTTAATTAAACTCGGAAAGCTGGGAGTATACAGATCATATTCCACAAAAGACGGCCTTTGACTGCCTCTAATTCCAAGGCTGCTTAGCACCATTGAGAGTTAAGGTGGGCCCTACTGACCATCAAGGATGGTCAGGTGGCAGGTGGTAAAATAACAGACTTTTTCAATTATTTGATCTCAAACCCACAGAGTCTGTGTGATTGGCTGACAACCTTGTCTCACATTGAACTCCAGAGATCTAGTTAAACTTTTAAGTTTATTAGGCAATATAAGCTGCCTCTGGTGTTCTTGCCTCATTTGTCCTTTACAGAAAGCTGACCCAGATCGATACTTAATTCTCACAGGCTTTTAATGATATGTATTTATTTCCCAGTCCTGAGTACTTAGAGCAGCAGTTCTCAACCTGAGGGTCGAACGACCCTTTCACAGGGGTCGCCCAATTCATAGCAGTAGCAAAATTAGTTATGAAGCAGCAACGAAAATAATTTTATGGTTGGAGGGTCACCACAACATGAGGAACTGTATTAAAGGGTCGCGGTATTAGGAAGGTTGAGAACCACTGACTTAGAGACTAGCTTGTGCTGTCACCTGTCTTACCTTAAGATTTTGTCCCTAGTGTCTGATTCCTGAATTGAGAAAGGAAAGGTGGTCATTTCTCCTTTAAGAATCCTGCATCTAGGGACCCTGGTAGTATAGTAGATTATGAGGAGATAGGTTGCTAACTCCCGTAAAGAGTTACAGTCTCTAACCTCAAGTGAATTTCTAGCTTCAGTCATTGTGCCTTGCTTGTTTCTCAAAAGAGTTGTTAACTCCTGTAACCCATGGTCGGCACTTTTACTCTGTTGTATAGGATCACTGGGAATCGGAATCGACTCGGTGGTGTTGAGATCTTGCACCTTCCCAGCTGCTTATCTATAAATGAATGACGCTACTGTAGAGGTTAAATTCCTCTTCAGGAGGTTGTATTCTAACACACCAGTGACCAGTTAGCCCACAGCCCTGTTACCGTTTGTCATGAAGAGTGTGAGGAGTGACCAGAACACCAACCATTCTCTATGGCATCTGGCGCCCATCCTGTGGGCCATTTCCTTTCAGGTTGTGAACAGACTGGACCTTTGATACTTCTGTTTGGAGACCACATGACTCTCATACTCAGAGGAAAGATCCCAGCACACCCCTGAATCCTTTACCCCACATGAAGGGAGTTCCCTCACTCTTACTTCATCCTCAGAAAACTTCATTGCTGGTCTAGATTGAGTAGACCACCATGACCAGTGAACTGGTCACCACATAAACCCTGGCAGTGCGGGTGTTTATTCTGAGCATAAATTGTCGAAAGAGACATTGTCCTCACATGTGCTCCTGCTTCATGCTAGTGAGATTGGAGTTAGGACCCCTGTCCACTGCTCAACAGATAGCAGTGCATGACAAGGCTTGGCTTCCCAAGTTGAGACATCAGAGCCTCACCTGCCATTGCAACCAGGGACTAGAAGTATCTGTTCCCACTGTAAACTTGCTTAGCACCCTAAACATCATTGAAGCTAATGAGACTGACATTTCATTAAACACCAGTTTCCTGCTCCAGGGTTCGAGAATGTTTTGATTACTTGAATAAATGAGTGAAGTGATGCATGGTGCATATGAGAGAGTGACTGTAGAAAGGACTCCAGAGAAGACATTTAAGAGACAATCATGAATCTGGTGTTTTTTATTTTTGTTTTTGGGGAGGTTTTTTTGTTGTTGTTTTTTAACTAGAGATCTTATACCAAGAACCACGTTTGAATAGAATAACATTTGTTGAAAATACTTTCAAAGGTACCTTTGTTAATGGCCTAAATAAATATTAAATATAGCTAAAGTTATTTTGCTACGTCCCAAATCCTCAAGAATGAGTTTCACTTCTACAAATTTCCATACGAAGAGGAAATCTGTAGTAAAAATGCTTATTCTTGAAAGGAACTGAGAGATTGAAGCTTGTATCTCCTGGACCATCCAGTGACCATTGATAAACATCTCCTTTTTCACTGCGCCTCTACTTTACCAAACACGGTGTCCTTTTCCAGGGACTTGTCTCTCTTGACAACATGTCCAAAGTATGTAAGACCGTCTCCCCATCCTTCCCATACTTCTTCCAAGACAGTCAATGGGCTCGTTCTTTCAGCAGCCATGGTCTTTCAGCATTCTTCTCCAGCACCACAATTCAGATGCATTGATTCTTCTTCAGGCTTCTTCATTGTCCAGCTCTCAAGGTGGACTGACAGCATGGCTGCAACAAGGGACTCTCTAGTATGGGAACAATTGTGAGGACAGTGCGGGGCTTGCGGGGCTGGGCAGTGTTTCCTGCTGTTCTGCACAGGGTTTCTGTGAGTGGAAACCTACTTACTGGATGGCGCCCAACAGCCACAACTGACGTAGATCAACATCTCCCTTGGGCAACCGTCTGCCTCCACAGGACCTTCCAGAGCAAACTGCCCCAGGACCCAGGGTGAGGTGTGGTCTGTGGGGTCATGGTTGCCCCTGGAGCACATAGCCCTGCTCAGAGTCCCTTTAGAATCTCAGTCTTTGAGTCCTGATTCCTCATCTTGCACTTCCACATCTGCTCAGCTGCTTAAAGGAGTGACTAGAGTGCAGTGGCACATTCTTTGACTATATCCTTATAGGTTTGCGAATTGACAAAATACTTAAAGAGGATTGGTTTAGGCTAGCATAATACTGCTGTATAATAACCAACAAGGGGATGGCCATGTTACTTTGAAGTTGTCAACTTTTTTACTATTTGCTTGCAAAACTTGTATAGCATTCTTTTCAAATAAATCTGTTTGAAAATAGGAAATAATTTTAGCTACTACAACCAATCTGAACCCTAGTAAAATGTGTGCTGTGGTTAAGTCATTCACTCCTGACATTTGCCTGGTTTGATTTGGATTCTTGGCTTGCCCTTACTTCCTTTTTTTTATATAAATTCAGTTTTGTGGGTTTTGTACTGTATATGTCTTTTATTGCTTACTTTCATTGGGTGAACTTCGTTTACACTAAGTCTTAACTTTTGGGGGAGGTTTCCTCATTTTTCCCACAAATTACTTGAAATTACTTTTAAAATTTATAGCAGAACCTCTTTGTCATGTACATTCTTCCAAACTATGTAGTGTATTTTTGTTTATTTTTAAAAAATAGTCCCTTAATGTTCTTCTAAATACGGATTTAACTGTACCTACATAGTGTCATTAATGTGTAAAACACAGTGCCTTAATGTGATTAGTATGTGCAAGTTACCTTCATATATACTATTGTGACCTTAGCATTATACTGTCATAGAAATTAAAGAGGATTCAAAGTAATTTTTTGTTTGCATGTGCATTGGGGGGTTTCCTCACAGAATTTCCAGAACAAAAACTGTTTGCTGCCCTGTTGATTAAATGTGTTGTGCAGCTGGAACTCATCCAGACTATAGACAACATTGTGTTCTTCCCGGCCACGAGTAAGAAGGAAGACGCAGAGAACTTAGCTGCTGCACAGGTAAGGTGGTGTGAGGGCAGCTACTGTTTTGTGTGAGTAGGAAAATAGAATAAGCATTCAGGGATTCAGAGCAGAGGCCAGAAAATATTAACTTGGTGTGAGGGGGTGGGATCATCATCTTAAGGTTGTGATTTTAAACCATGAGACTAGAGAATGTCTAGAGCAGGTCAGTGGAGCAGATCTGGTCCTTGGGCCCACTACCATTATCTTATACATCCAGTGATAGCCACCCGGTGAGAGACCGAAAACAAATCAGGGAAGCTGAAGGAGGCACGGGAAACAATGCCTCCTAGAGATCATAGAAGGCTTGCGCTAACAGGAGGGTCTAACCCACTCCATCAGATACTCCAGGTTGCTCAAGCCCTATGAAGCCCGCGACTGACCACGGAACCTAACAATAAGGAGGACTTTGGTGACCATATAAGATGTGTCTGTGCGCAGTGGTGACAAAGGCCTAGTTCTAATGAGTTTTATAAGAGGATATGAAGACAGCAAATATCAGTTACTTCTTCAAGATGCATGAGTGTGTGAGAGCACAGCGAAGTAGATTGTAACTGGAAGAAGGTCAGGAAAGCGGGGTATTTTGTTTTGCTTTATTTGTCAGGCCTGGCGAGATTACATTACAGCACAATCACTGAGAGTTTGCATTAGACAGAGAGAAACAGTACAGAAGGGAGCAGGCTATTTTCTAGAGCCGTCTATCTGTTTCAGAGGCTGGGGATGGGGTCTAGAGCACATGACTGCCTTAGGTAGAAGCTTGCTGTCACTCCTGGCAGCAGCAGGGAAGACAAAGTGTGTGGGTATAGGAAGATGAGGACATTTGTTGCTGGGAGCTTGTGGAAGATTTCTCCTGGTAGCTTCTATTAAGGACATCAGAAGAAAAGTCACCCATCAAGTGAGTTTGCAAGAAAGTATTAGATATTTGAGGAGAGCAGTAAAGGCCTGAATCAGTGGCCCAGAAGGATGAACTAGGGAAACATACAGTTACAGGATAGCATCCAGAGCCCTGGGGATTTAAAGAGGATCCGAGCCAGGCAGTTCTTTAACAGGGCAGGCTTGTTGTCTGAATGCAGGGTATCGAGGAATTGAACCAGACTTTAATTTTGCTAGCCAATTACTAAGGAGAGAGGAAGGAGGAGTTATTCAGAAGAATGATTGTAGTCATGGTCCATCGACTCCAGACTGATTAAGAGTAGGGCAGCCCTGCAGAGATGAGGAACAGGGGATAGGAGTGGGGGCAGGGGGTGTTGAGTAGGGGTGAGGATGGTTGGAGGCAGGCACAGAGGAGGGGGACTGAGGAGGTAAGGGATGACAAGCCACTATAGATAGGGTACATGGAATGGAGACTGGATTTCACAGGAACTAGAGGTGGGCCTTTCTCCGTTTTCTCTTGAGTGAGTAGGTTTCTGCTCCAGTGGCTTTGACTGTCCGTGCTCACTGTGGTGCTTTGTGTCCTGCAGAGAGATGCAGTGGACTTTGATGTTCGAGTTGATACGCAAGACCAAGGAATGTACCGCTTTTTAACATCACAGCAGCTGTTTAAATTACTGGACTGCTTATTAGAGTCGCATAGATTTGCCAAAGCATTTAATTCAAACAATGAACAGAGGACAGCTCTGTGGAAAGCAGGTAAGCTGTGCAGGTCTCGGGTTTTCATCCTCACCGCTCATGGATGTGCAGCAGATGTGTACCCTTCCCAGAATGCATTGCCTGTGCATTCATGCCACTGTATCCGGTTTTCATTTTAATGTCAGTCTAGCAGCCAGGCCTTTTCCTAATGTACAGAGTCCAACAACTGCCTGGATAGGGCTCTTTCCCTTTAGCCATTCAGCCTGGTGCTTGGCTGATTTCACCATTGTTCTTCACCTTGTGTACTCAGTCTGGACCTTCATGTTGGTAACAGCAACAACAAAAAACTCACTGCCATCGAGTCGATGCCGACTCATAGCGACCCTGTAGGACAGGGAGAACTGCCCGCATGAGTTTCTGAGACTGGAACTCCGCCTGGGAGTAGAACGCCCATCTTTCTCCCCAGGAGCAGCTGAAGAGAAACTGCTGACCTTGTGGGCTGCAGTCGAACATGAATGCTAGCATGACAGGCTGCTTCTTAAAAATAGCACTGTGTGGTGAAGGGAAGGCTCCCCCACCACCACTGACACAGGGATTTGAATGGCTCCTGTGTGTTTACCTGGCTGCGTCCATTATTCCTTAAAACAAAAGCGAATGTTGGAGGAGGGATTACAGTGGATATGGATGGGGTCTTTGTATTGGAACATGTTAGAAAATGTAAATAAAGAACAAGCTTTATATTAATGAGGTAACCTGACAGTGTTGAGTTTATTTAAGAAATCATTATTCAGTGCCTGTTCGATACTAAACAGTGTTAGGAGAGGGAAGGCAGGCCCCAGAAAGAAGGGAATTGGGGTTCTTGGAGCATCAGCTCAAAACTCCTACACATGTGGTTTGTTCATGCTCTTAAATCTGACCTTAGCCTTTCCTTTGGCACATCCTTGTGACTGTGAAAGAATGACCTGTGTGCTTAGTTTACCCCTTTCTGCAGCCTACCGCCCACTAGGGCTCCAGGAGCTGCCCAGTCGGTGCCCCTCTCATTTTCCATCCATGAGGCATTCGCATCCATGCCTTTGAGCAGCTTGCCCACTTGGTGGTGTGTGCACTTGCTCCTCTGGTACCCAGTGCCGGTGCCACTGCACCTACAGCCCTGGACGGGGGCTTTCAAGTCTGAAAGTAGTTGTATACCCTTTGTCCTCAGCTTGAGTGGGAGGGAATGTGTGCATGGAAGTCACCCTCAGGCTGTGCACTGGCCCATTCCCCGCACAGTCTGGGTGCTCCCTGCCCCCAAGGTTGACATCCTGGCTCTGCTATGTACATGGCCAGCCCCACAAGCACAGTGTGCCCTGGATAGGCTGTTACTAAGATGCCTTCTCAACTCATCACAAAATCCTGCCCTTTCTGCAGGCTTCAAAGGCAAGTCCAAACCCAACCTTCTGAAGCAGGAAACCAGTAGCTTGGCTTGTGGGCTGCGCATCCTCTTCCGGATGTACACGGACGAGGGCCGGGCCAGCGCCTGGGAGGAGGTCCAGCACCGACTGTTAAAGTAAGCATCTTTAGACATTTACTTCCTATGAGCCCTTGGTATCAGTTCCTCTCCCCCCCCACCTTGTGTCCCCGTGATAGATTATAAATTATTCATATTTCACACTGACCGTTACCTCCCTTGCCCCAGTTTCTGTTGTTCTTCCGTCTGGAGGGGGGGTGTGGTTATATGTCAATCATTAGGACGGGTTCCCCCTTTCTCCCCTTCCCCTTCCGGTATTGCTATTCCTGTTCCTGCATTCTGTGTGTCCTGAGCTTTTATCTCTTACCTGTACCTGTGTACATGCTCCAGTCTAGTCCAGAGTGAGAAGCAGCACTGGGGTCATGATAGTGGGGGGTGAGGAAGGCTCAAGGAACCAGAGGAACATTGTGTGTTGCATCAGTGCTTTACTGCGCCCTGGTGGATTCATCCCTCTCTGTGACCCTTCTGTGGAGGGATGTTTCATTGTCTACTCATGGGTTTTATGTCTCTGCTCTGACCCCACTCGTTCTCAACAATTTGTTTTTGTTTGTTTGTTTGTTATGGATCTTCTGGTGCCTGTTACCCGGTCCCGTGATACAATTGATGTATGGATTGTAATAAGTTGTTAAGAGCCTCCAGTAAAAGGAGATTTAATTGAAAAAAAGTAAGCATCTCAGTTGAGCTTCAGCGCAGACACAGGTGCCTCTGCACGTGCCATGGCCTGGCTTGGAGCTGCAGAGCCACACAGGCCCTGTGTCTTAGCCATGCGGTGGAGCTCATGACAACCCTGCTCCACAAAATGATTTTGAAAATTAGACGTGATCTTAAAAACAAACATGCATCGCACAGCTGGTGATAGCAACAAATTGGATCTATTGTTGCTTTTACAGGGTAGAGGAGAAAAATTTGTTGCAATTTACAAACCATCTTGTGATAGTTTATAAACCCTCCAAAGAGAGTCCTTCTGGCTCATAGCAGCCCTCTGTAAGGTCTCGGAGATTGTAAAATTTAACAGATGCAGACAACCTCTTCTTTCGCCCAAGAGTGGCTGGTGGGTTTGAATCGCCAACCTTGAGGTTAGCAGTCCAGTGCCTCACCCACAGTGCCACCAGGGATCTTATAGTTTAAAGGGTTTTTTAATGCCATAAGATAGCCTCATTGGCATAGATGATATGAAAGGGAATGCCTACATTTAATTTGAAAAATATTTGCCTGGTGTGCTCTTATTTTTATTTCATTTCATAACAACATGGCTATTTTGTCCTTTAAAAAATTGAAATCCATGCTAAGAATTGGGTAGACCATTCTGAAAGAATGCTATCATCTCTCTGCAGTGTATTTCTGCGTGTACTTGGGGAACACATGTTCGCAGAGTCCAGTTAGGGTCTGAAGAGGTCACCTAGTTTGTTCCTATGTCAGCAGCAACACTGCTGTGGCCACACATTTCGAGAGGAAGGGCCACCATAGACGTCAGCCCGAGCCTCCAACACCAGGCACTGGGTTTTTGCTGCTCGACAGTGACTTTGAAGTTAAACTTACCTTAATGTCTCTGGTTTTCTTCCTAATGGAAAGGCAAAAAAGTGTTTCTGTTGAAACCCCAGTTACTGTAAACAGATGGCATCTGTTATTCTGCGCGCCACTCCTGTCCCCAGTGTACCGCATTCCAGCAGGTGTGCAGCCCGTTGACGAGCAAGTCTCTTCTTTTGCAGCGTCTGCAGTGAAGCACTGAGCTACTTCCTTACTCTCACGTCAGAGAGCCACCGAGAAGCTTGGACAAATTTGCTGCTTTTGTTCCTAACTAAAGTTCTAAAGATAAGTGATAATAGGGTAAGTATGAAGTGCCATGGACTTCTTGGCCCCTTCACTAAGCATATTTCCTTAGGTTGTCCAGCATTGTGAACTTAAATTTGAGGCAGTCGCGCTGGGTTGCAGACCTACTTCCTAGCGAGAGCTCTCAGGAGCAGAGGAGGCAAGCCAATGCTTTGTTCAGCCTCAAGGAGGGCATCGTCCCGTCTCTCATCCTTGGTGTCCCGTCTCTCATCCTTGGTTTCCCGGCTTACGCAGCTTTGCTCTCCCATCAGTGATGCTCCCGACCCGCTGGAGCTCAGAATCCCTGAGGGTACCTTGACCAGCTACAGGATTCCTGCCGTAAACAGCCTAGGGGCCCCCTCTGACCTCCTGGCTTCCCTATTGCCATGAGGCCAGGGTCGGATATGCCTCAGCTGTCCATCCTCTACTATTCTGACCCCAGCCTCTGATGCTCCTCTCACAGCATGCTACCTCAGTGCCAGATTCGATCATTCATTGCAGTGGCCACACACAACTCACCAGAATACTCAACAGTTAAGGGTGTTTATTAGGGAAATTAATAGCTTACCACAAATCAGAATCAGCAAACAGTAGGGATAGTCTGTGGCCAGAACTCTCTGCAGTTCTGTTTTCATCCACATGGTCCCTGGGGTTTTGCCTCTATGAGCCAGATGAGGAGAAGGTACCCCAGAGCCTCGGTGCTGCTTCTGAGTTTCGGTGCCCGGTCTCTGGTGCGTCTGGTCTTGGCAGCCTCCCCAACTCAGACAGAGCTCTCGGACGTGCTCTTCCAGTGGTCCTCGGCTGTCTTCTCTGCGCCGCGGAGAGGACTCACATATCGAGGAGTGGCTTTGATGGGGTCTGGTGTGACTTTAGCTGACCCTCAAAGCCATACCCTCTAGCAGAGTACAGTCTAGTTTAAGGTGACCAGATTTTCACATTGGTGAAGCGGGACACCGATGATAACACTCATATCCTGGCGAAATAGCCACATGGCAGCTGAAAACGGTATACCCTAGCTTGTCGTGCATTCTTTCCAAAAATCGGGACTGTCCCTCCAAAAGCAGGACGTCTAGTTATTTGTAAGGAAGTAAAAGATCTGTCACCCCATTGAGTGCTAGGGTTGATTTGACTCTGACTGACTAGGTGAGTGACCCCTCCCCTCACCGCTCCATGTGCGTCCCTCCCAGAGCTTCGTGCACAGTTGCAGGTGATGACCTTCTGCCATGAGGAGGAGGGCTGGCCTTCGGCCAAGGCTATGCAAGTAGCTGCATTCCCCAGCTAGCATCTTCCCACACGCTCTAAAGGGGGTTGCTTGGTTCACACCCTCTACTAAAGTCAGAGCTCGATCCCACCCTTCTCCTCCATTCATGTAGTACAGCACACCCTCCCACATGGGATGATGGCCCCAAGCATGGAGTCCAGAATTCGAATACATCGCAGAGGAGTTCTCATATTGGAATTCCCGTTAGGACCCCCCAGTCCTCATTGCAAACTGTGTCGCCCCCCTCTCAAGCTTCCACGCAGAGCTCTCCCCTGTGAACTTGGCCTTTATCATTCTGGCAGCATATCTTGTAGCTCCATGTGATCCTGAGCCCTGTCATTTCAGAATTTGCACCAATAGGAATAAAGGTATATACAGACTTCCACTGCTACTGAGCTCACCTTGCAGCACAGAGTAGAGCTAGACAGAGCTAGAATTTTTACAGAATCACGCTGCCACGTCTTTCTCCGGTTCGCACCGTGACTTGGGGGGTGGCTGTTGCATGCTTACGCACTGCTTCACCAGGCCACCTTTAAAGTAGAAGCATAGATTAATAACACTGGCTTGTTGATTTTCACATTTGCAGATGCTGAGGTCTGACAGTAAAATTTACCACAGCTATTAGAGCTCGGGGAGCCCTGGTGGCACAGTGGGTTATACATGGTCAGTGGTTCAGGACCACCATTTGCCCTATGGGAGAGAGGCTTTCTACTCCCATGAAATATTTGCAGCCTTGGAAACCCACAAGGGCAGTTGTACTTTTTACTATAGGGTCACTGTGAGTTGGGATTGATCTGATGGCAGGAAGTTCTCTATTGGAGCTTGAGGTGTGGACTATAAGCTATGTAAATCATTCATCATATAGTAAGAACTGCTATTAATTTACTAACCCAATACTTTGTGATGCTTCCAATGCAAAATAGAAGCACATAACTGTAAATATAAATGCATACTTTAAGATTTTCAAAAGTATATCTTTTACTGTTTTAAAAAATACAAGTTATATTTTTTAATAACCTTACTACCATTCCAACTCATAGCGACCCTGTCGGACAGGGTAGAACTGCCTCTGTGGGTTTCCGAGACGCTAACTCCTTAGCTTCATCTTTCTCCCGCAGAGCAGATGGCACTTTGAACTGTTGGCCTTGATGTTAGCAGCCCAATGTGTAACCACTATGTCACCAGGCCTCCTAACCACTCAAATAGCTCACTTAAATAGACTCGGGTTACTCTGAGGTGATCTCAAGTGGCTTTGGGGGCATAGTGACCCCATGGAGGTAGAGCAATGCTGGTACCACATCAGGATCCAGCATGCAGCTCCATTTCCATCTGCCTGAGACCAATAGAGTCAAAACCACATGGCAGAAGCCTCCTACCCCCACCCCGCCCCGTCTCACTTTCCAGGTTGCTGCGCTTTCAGCATGTCACACTGCCTCTGTGTCTTCAGGAACGAAGAGGGACAGGAGAGGACACGGACAACAGAAGAGTGTTTAGAAATTTTAAGGGACTGCAGCAGAGATAGTAGAGGCAAAGTATAAAAATGAAGTATAAATATAGAATGCATTTTTCTTGACCTGAAACTATATACTGCAACATGAGCTAGAATCTTCCGTAAAATTTAAAAGTTTTAACAAAACCCAAAAAACCCTCATTGCCCAATACTGAGTCGATGCCAACTCAAAGTGGCCCTAAACAGAACAGAACAGAAGTGCCCTGTGAGTTTCTGGACTGGATCTCTATGGGGTATATAAAGCCGTTTCTCTCCCACCAAGTGGCTAGTGCTTTCGAACTGCTGACCTTGTAGATTGCAGCCCAGTAGATAACCATCATGCCATAGAGCGCCTACAAGTAAACAGAGGGGTACAGATAACTCAGATTGCTTAAAAACACTCCTCTAGCACCTGCTTATTATCCAGGGGGAAACAAATATTTACTTGATGTTTGTCAGGGAAATGTGATCAAAGTTGCTTTTCAAAATAAGATGATGTAGGTGCATGCTGTATGTAGTGAGTCTTTTGAATACTTCTCAGTCTTCCACACTCAGTCAAAATAATCATTGCTTCATGCAAAGACCATTTTTCCACAGGTCAGTATCGCCCCGTGCTCCGCCCAAATGCTTTGAATTTAAAGGCAGTTTTATTTATGCTGTGATTTTGGTTGGTAAGCAGTACTAAAAGAATTGTCTTTTTCTCCCCCCAGTTTAAAGCTCATGCATCATTCTACTACCCTCTCCTGTGTGAAATTATGCAATTTGACTTGATTCCTGAACTTCGTGCTGTTCTTAGGAGATTTTTTATGCGAATTGGAGTCGTTTTTCAGATCTCACAACCACCTCAACAGGAAGCTGGAATAAGCAAGCAATGATGGGCACTGTTGCTCTGCGGTGGTGGTGTTATTGTTGGCGTTACATCCTTCTTCTCTTTCAGTGGACTCTGGAGCTGCAGTTCTCTGAATTGTTTGTCTAAGGGTTACTGGTAAAAAATGCGTTAGAACTATAACGTCACACTTGCAACACTCCAGCCCCTTTGAGTGACTGATGGACTCACTGTGCGGTGTTGGGCTCCTTGAACAGGAGACTTGGGTCAACAGCACCCTCTCTCCTCCGTGATAGGAAAGGCCCCGTGTATTTATGGCAGGTGCGGAAGGTTTTGAAACTTACCCAAAGAACTATAGTTGTAAAGATTTGAACTTCTGCAAGAAGTACAACTCAGGAGAGCTGTATTTTGAAGGATAAAATGTTTATAACTAGGGGGGACAGGGGACGAAGAAGAAATTATTGTTCATGGTAAAGATATTTAGCAACTGTGGTATTCTTATTCTGAAGATTTTTGCACACTCAGGCTCCCTGAGATACTGGTAATCATCCTTCTGTGAAAAAATGTACAGAGATGCAGGTCTGTAATATAAACCTCTCAAACATTATAGAGTTCATCCTGCACTGTTTTATTTTATTTCTTTATTTTCATATTCCTTTGCTAAATGCCCATAATATTTTGTCAAATGCACTAAACGTTTGGGTTGAACTTTTTTATTTTGCGGGGACTTTTTGGTTTTGCCCTTTTGGCTGGGGGTGGGGGGCGGTGATCCTTTTGAGGGCTGAATATGCCCAGAAGCTGTTGTGGTGGACACTTGTCAAGACCGACAACAGAAAAGAAAAACATAAATGGTAGAAAATATCGCTACTGACCTAACTACCTGTAATATGCTTCTCTTAGGGCTTTTAAAGATGAGCCATTAAAATATAATGATCTTTCATGGACTGAAACTTGAATCACTGCAAAATAAATCTAGGTTGCTGTAACTTTTTTTCTCTTTTCTTTTGGGTGGGGTGGGGTGGGGTGGGTGGAGCTTGATGTAGATTTTACTCTGTACAGAATTTAATGTTGAATATATTAAAATAAATCCGGCATGGTTTGGGAGTGGTTAAGCTTACTGGAAATGTATTCATACTGTGAATTGTGATGGTTAAAAAGACAAGCTTGTCAAGCATTCCGTATTAACAGTGGTGTAGAAAATTTCTCAGATGGATAAAATGTATATGGTACAGATGTAAAGTTTTCTATGTAAAAAAATTCTGTACAACTTTCTGTACAATATTCTCATCTGGCATATTCTAATCAGGTTATAGGTCAATAAAGTTTTTGAATATTTCATCATTGCAATCAACCTGCATAACTCTCGGCTCCCTGTTTTCCTTGATTCTTTTTGATGGGAGGGTTACTTTCAGCCCAAACTACAAATCCAGTGTTTGCAGTTTTCTCTCAACTTGTGACATTAGATGCCTTGCTCTATCTCTATTCCCACCCCTCCCTTCTTTCTAAGCATAGGATATTTAAATACTCTTTAAATATTCTGAATATTCATTACCCAGCATGCTGAGAGAATGGCTAAATTTTCCTCAAGCCATTTGCAGTGTGATACTGTGCCCTAGGAACGCACTTGGAGCTGCATGGATCAACAGGCTGGAAAAGGAAAGTGGAGCATGTCAGCAAAGACTTATCTTAAAGGGGTTATATGAACAACGGAGTGTCTAGTCTCTGTTCCATGCTTCCAAGCTCACTGACCAGTTACTGACCAGTGTGCTTTATGAGAACAAAGAGTGTTATGATAGATCTAAGACACCGTATTTATTACCAAATCACAGCCCTGGGCAAGCTCAGTTCAGTCCTAGATCGGGGTTGTCTGCTAGGCACCAGGACCTGGGGCCCTTCTGAGATGAGAGCTTCAGACAAACGGGGGTTCTTCCTTGATGGTGTAGCATGCAGGCTCGACCCCCCAAAGGAAACACTGATTGCACCTCGCTTGAAGATAGATAAGGGAAAAAAAACAATAAGCCCATGGTTAGAGCCTTTAGAACCAAGATACATGGAGCTGAAATTCAAAATGTCAGGATTTGAAAATGCAGCCGTTGCTTGTACAGTGAATTACACATCCGTGGGGTAGTTTCAGCTTTTACCGTGGAAAAGTGCCGGAGTTCCAGCTGTCACGGGGCTGAAGCCCACAATCCCGGTAAAATGATTGCCCAGTATTTGAATAAATCTCTTGTTTTAAAGGGGCCACTTGCTACTTGAGTGATGAGAAAAGTTAGTCCTTATCCAGGGGTCACTTTGTGTTGGAATTGACTGTAGTCATGAGTTCAGTTTAGATGGTGGTGGTACAAAAATTGGAGAGGCTGTAACCATGGCCACTTGGTTAAGGACCAACTTTCATAATCCAGTAGCTCCTGAGACCATAGATCTTTACTGGAGCTGACAGCCCTTGACTCTTTGTTCTCCTTCAGGGTAGCTGGTGTATCTGAACTACCGACCCTGCAGTTAGCAGCCCAATGCTTAGACCACGGTGCCACCTTAGCTCCTTAAACATCTGCTCTAAAAACCTTAAATCTAGTTAAAATAAGTCAACATTGGTAATGAAAATAAAATTTTATTTCTGTTAAGAAGTAGTTAAATCATATAAATTAGTAACTTAAAACAATGCCTTCATTGGCACAATAAGGCAAAAAGCTGTAACAGTGCATGTCTCACAGGAATAAAATCAATTATGGCTCCCCTCATTTATACTGAGTATAAATGACGTGAACATAACTTAGCACATTGGATTCTCTAATTACAGAGCAAGTGGAATAATCCTAGCTGTAACAGATGTATCTACTGAATGAATTTCTTCTGAATAGAAAGAATATCAAGTGTGCACGTAAGAGACTTCCGGTTTTACAGTAAAGATACGTTTTTTTCATCTTAAGGACAAGCAGAATTTAAATTAATGCACATATGGTAATTGATTCCAAGAGTTCATTACCACCCTAATTTATGGCAAAATTGTGCAAAAATAATCCTATACAATTCTACATTACATCAATAATTGTGGCATTTTATTTATGTACATAATATACATCATCATGGAACTAATACTCCTTGATTGATCATAAGTAATTTCCAGGTAAGGGCCAAAGAGAATGTAGTAGAGGTTCAAATTTAACATTCCTTTCACCTTAAAAGGCACTGCGGGTCCAGTACACATTTATTTTAACCGTGTGCGGTGGACAGGCCTTGCCAATGAAAAGTGCCTGGTTTCCCCGGAACCTGCTGCTCTGGCTGCTGCTCCTGCTGCTGCTCTGGACTCAGGTGCTCTACCATGAATCGCTTCATGGTCTCTGAGGTGCCGGGGCGGAGCCAGGGCTCTGTTGCCACAGAGCTGTCCTCGCCCATTTGCTTCATGATGTCATCAGGATCGACCAATGAGCCCTCATCATCTAAAGGACAGGTGAAGAAAAAAACACAAAACCCACAACTGAGCAAGGCTCTCATGCCCAACCCATGACAGTTCTGCAGTCCCCACAGAATTGAACTCCCAGCTGCCCTTCTTTACCCAGCTCTTCACTTAGAAATGGAGCTACAGGCCCAGAAAGTGATTGACTCCATGCTCGTGACGCCCCAGGGCTTCCGGAGTGAAAAGGACACGCCACCCGACAGGAAGGTGCCCACGGGAGAGGCCATATTACTGTTGCAACTTCCCAGAGGAACTTGCTGGACACCACCAAAAAATTAACTGGCAAAACATTGGGGGACTAATCCCAACCTGTTGTTCTGCTCTAGAAGTAGTTTTTTACATTTGTCTTATTAATGAAATTGATCATACTCCACTTCCGTATCTTGTATGTTACCACTTATTGTTAGATAGAATAATAGGAAAATCTGGCTTCCTACCCTGTGATGTCAATTTCTCTTTTTAAAAAATCCCATCTCCTGGTCTGTGAAGGATTAGCCCGGCAAAGGGACACGGGCAATCAATTTAATGAGCAATCAATCCACATGGTACCAAAAAGCTCCTGTTTGAAAGGACAATGTGAAGTTTAGAAACTGAAAACCTTCTGAAAGAACAGACTAAATGCTGCGTCTGCCCTCAATTTAACTGTTATCTGTTAAACATATTGCTTTTAAAAAGAAAAAGGAAACGAACAGCCAATACAGAGAACAGATCAAAAAGGCTGTCTAGTAAGAAAAAGTTACTCTCCTCATTCAACATCTTTTCATGTATGATATAAGAAGTCCAATATTCAGTTTATCAGGTCTGCTAGGCTGATTATATCTTTCAAATTAACACAGTATTACAGGTAATAGGCTCTGGGGGAAGTTTTTGTCATACAGTTTCATAGCATTAAGAATATTTTACAGATATTTCTAATACAAAGTCCCCGTTGCTGCCCTACATGCAAAAGGGGAGCGCAGGGCTGGCAGAGGAGCTTATTTGCTGCCTGCGCAGGAAGCCCTCACCATGCCGTGGGAGTGGTCAGCCAGTGGGCAGCCTGTCCGGTGGGGGTTGGGTTCTCAAGGTAACTACAGTCCAAGCACCCTCATGGAATGGGACGAGACTGACTGACTTAGAACCATTGTAACTTGAGGCTGTTTTGCTCTGTCCGTGGTGAAGACGACCAAGGTAAAGGTGAAAATAACTAGTACAACAGCTTGACATAGCTGGTTAAGGAACTCAAGAGTTACTTCCTGATAATCCCGGCCATACCGATTAGCAAAGCATGGATATATGTAATAGGCAATGTATGGATCTGTTCAGACTCCAAGGTAGAAAGGAGGCCTCGAAGTCAAACCTGTACTGCCGTGGCTGGGTGGCCACTGTGTGCTACCACAACTGAAAGGCCTTTACATTCATCCCTCAACCTTCAGTGAACACTTCCTGCACGCAGGTCTGAGTGCTTACAGAATATGCGAGAGGCCACCACGCTCGGTCATTTACCTGTGTTAATAGGTTTACTCTGCAGTTCATTCAGTCTTCGGAGCCGCTCATCATTTCTCAGTCTAAGCTCATCCACATTTATACTGGAAGCAGATTTTAAAGAGAGGCCATCTGGTGGTACACTGGGATGATCCTGCAGATAGAAAACAGAACTTCAGAAAGTCATTGACATATGTCGGAATGAATCCTGAATCCACGTATTTTGTTGCCCTTGAAAAATACAAGGTTAAGTCAAAGGATATTGCCACACACTTGCAGAAACCTTTATGGAACAAACACATGAAAATGAAATCGTTTTTCCAACTCCCCACCTCTAGGTCTACGCACTCTGAAAGCAGTGTTTCCATCCAGCCAACCTTTCCCCAAACCACTCTGCGCTGTCCGTTCACACCACCCCAGTCCCAGAATGCTGGTGGCCTCAGGGGATTCCAATCGTGTTCCTTTACAAGGGTGACTTTGTAAAGTCTAAAGGGGCAAAATTAGGGCTGGAGAGTGCATGCGGTCAGGAGTGACATTCTCACAGGACAGCCCTTGCTACCCTCAAACTATGAGCAGGTGCATCGTCATTTGGAAACAATTCCCAGCACTACTTTCCTGGCCTAATTCTCACCCATGCCGAACAAAAACACACTGCCGTCAAGTCAGCTCTGACTCAGTGACCCTCGAGGGCTTCTGAGGCTTCCGAGACGCGAACTCTTCACAGCAGTTCAAAGCCGCTTCTTTCTCCCGAGGAGCAGCTGGTGGTTTCAAACGGCAACACACTCACTGTGCTGCCAGCACGCCTCCACCCGTGCAAGCTCCTTCCTAATGCACGCTGCTGCTCTCACCCTGGCCCCTGTCCACTGGAGAAACGTGACCATTGCCCCGTGTTGGAATTAAAATCAGTCACACCTTTTAGGCTGACCTCTTGCACCTTGAATTTTAAGTGACCCTGCCTAACCCACCACTCAGCCCACCTGAAGGCAATGCTTTGATTGGATGTTGTTGTTGTTGTTTTAAACACTTTACCAAGTGCAAGACAGGTGTGATACTGAGGGAATGTCCACATCAACACTGCAGGAGCATGCTTAAACACATTTTGTTTGGGAAAAACCCATGCATGTATGAACTCATTAGTCAAAATTGCCTCGATAGCAGTGGGTTTTATGCTTGAATTGGAATCCTAATAGCAAGACTTTCTTTACTTACTCTCAAATACCATGTGTTGAGCAAAATAAAGCAAGAGGAAATATGTAGCACTTACATTCTGATGCTGATGTTTATCTATGTGACCTTTAGTCATCAAGGGCAAAGTTAAGATGATCGTGGAAATGGTGCCATTAGGGAAATTTTGGAAAATAGTACAAGATCCAAAAGGGAAAAATTACTAAATAAGGGGTAAGAATCAATCCAAGTATAGTGATCACGACATACAATTGAGTGTGTACATAAAACCCTTTATACATTGGTGCCAACAAAATTCCATGAATAGAAAAATAAGACTCCTCAGCATGTCTGCATGCAAAAGTTCTTCTGGACCCGACTCATGCTGGACAGCCTATGGCAGAGTGGATCACAGACTGACATCTAAGAGGCAAAACACAAGACAAACCAGGAGTCAATTTTCATGAGGTTGGCAACAGCGGCTGCTTCAGACACGAATGAGAAACAGGAAGAATGAATGGTAAGGGCACTTGACAAATGAAGGAAGTCCGTTTCAACGCACACCTTCAAAAGGTAAATGGCAACCCAGAGCCCGGGAAGAGATACTTACAGAGTAGGTGCTGCCAAAGGGACTTGTACCCAAACTATTTGAAGAACTCTTACAACTAAGCCACATGAAAGGCCAATTAACCCAATTTTAAAATGAGCAAAGGATTTAAGTATATATTCCTCCTGAGAAGATACATGAATAGTTAATAAGCACATGAATAGATGTTCAATATTATTAAGTATTAGGGAAAACCACAATGAGATATCATGGCACACCTAATAGAATGGCTATAACCAAACAGACCCTAACAAAAGTGTTGAAAATGTATAGAAATCAGAGACCTCATCTATTGCTGATGGGAATGTAGAATCGTGGAAAAGTCTGGTCATTCTTCAGAATAATGTAGATTATCACATAGTTCATAGGTGGACTTGAAGGTATGTATTTCAATGAAGTGTTAAAAAATACCAATTCAAGGGTCCATTGTGCCCCGATGAGACTGGAGAAGTGAAGTATGTGAGTTTCCTCCCTTCCAGAGAGTCCAACATGGCTGGAGATGCAAACTATCACCAGAACTACCCGCACACATCTATGCATTTGTTAAGTTCAAAAAAGTTTTTGAGAGAGAGTGGGAACCTCAAGGAGGAAGTCGCCTGTGTTTTAGCAGAGAAGCTGCTAAGGCAAGGCCCAGGAGAAAAACAAGGAGATGAAGACAATCTTGAACCAGTTCAGACGATTTGAAAGCAATGGTAGAATGGGCAGGTCTTCGGAAGGCAGTTCAATGTGTGTGTAAATTTTACCCTGTAGAGATTTAAGTACTTGTGTCTTATTTAAAGATGTATGCTCACAAACAGCAGATCATCAGGATTAAGAAGCAGCCTGCCTCTGTCTGGGTGGGAAGATTTTAAACTTGGACTGTGGCTAAGGGTTCTCAGCAACTACCTAGAGCACCTTCCTTTCTCGAAGGTGGGGGTGGAGTTGGGGGAAGGTGAGCAAGAGACCAGAGATTGCATCCAGATAGAGACAAGATCTATGGAAAACTAAACTGGGGGCCTGGTTTATCTTCTGGTTTAGCATGCGTATGTACACACACACACACACACACCTACGGTCAACTTTTTTGTAAGCGTCAGATTTTTCCACTGTAAAGTTACTCTATATTGAGGAAGAGGCATTATGGTCCACCCCTATAAATTATTTGGAATTGGTCTGACCATGACATTTGTCTATTCTCTACTTACTTACTCAACCTTTCATTTACATCAATATGGATTCGTGGCTATTTTCTGGTTTATAATTCACTGAGCTATTTCTATATTATTGCTCAAAATATTTTACCCTGGGCCATTGAGCCATTTCAGTTGGTCAGTTAATTTGCTAATGCTAACACAATTTTTGAAGTTTACTTGAAGCCTGAAATCTAAAACATAACTTAAAATTAGAGATGAGTACATGGACCTTGGGAAAATAACTCTCTTCCAGAGACCCCAATGGCCATTACAGACCCACTGGCTTGAGCATCGTTGTCTTGTACCAGCCTTCACTTTTCGCTTGCGGGATAAGGCTGCTGCTGGAAGGTCAACCACTGAGTCCGTCACCGTGGCCTGCTGCTGCTTCAGAGTATGACGGGTGAGCTCAAGTGCAGGTCCCCTCCCCCTTACACCAAGCTATGTTATCCAAGTGCCTGTGTGCTGGTATTACATTGCTAATAGCAGCAGCACCTGCCATGTGTCCAGTGCTCCCTGTGTAGTTGGCTCAGTGCTAAGTGCTTCCCATATATCTTCTCTTTCTCCGTGCCGTGGATAAGGAAAGAGACCAAGAGTTTAAGCTCACTCACTGCCCAACGAGAACAGAGCATCACTGGCTCCAAAGCCGGTACTCTCTAAAGGCTGTCGTCTTAGGAAGGTGTGCAAACAGTGAAAACAGCATCGGTTTGAACCTCGGCCTTCTTGACTATGTAACCTTGGGGAAGTGACTGGTCAAAATACGGGCTCCTGCAGAAAGGACAGAAGCTGGGGTGAGGAATTAACATCTACAGGGCAGCGTCTGTGACAGGTACTGAACTGTATACTTACAGTCACCCTGGAGACAGGTTCAATAACTGGCCTGAGAGTCCACCCAGCTCTCTTGAGGACAGAGCTTGGATTCAGACCCAGGTCCCCCTCACTCCAAAGTGAGTGCACTTTCTTTACTGTCCCAACCCAGTGGGTTGGAACCAAGAGCTCATCCTCTCAAACGGAACATGAGAAGAAAAAGATATTTCATACATACAAAGTCCAGTTCTTTCAATTTGTTCCTTCTGCGCTCTCTCGCAGAGGGCAACCGAGATGGCGGAGGAAGGGGGTCATCTTCGATGGCAGGGTATGTCTCTCCATATGCCCCTGGAAGGATCACACAACAAAGCAGTCTTAACTTCTACCACTGCCAAGTTCTTTACCCAGAACTAAACCAAAAGCTTATTTTTTCCCAATATTATTGTTATTATTTTGTGTCTTACACTGTCCGTTTTCTCCCTTCACCCACATTTCTGTTCAAAAGCTTATTTTTTTACAGGTTTATGAATACATTACTTGCACATTATGTCAGTGTACCACCCAGTAGATTTAAAGGTGTAGAATCATCATCACGATGATCCCTCTCAAAATTTCCTTTTTGCTCATTTGCAATCACTCCCCACTCTTATCCTCCAAGACCAGGAAAACACTGATCTCCATTCTGCCCCACTAGATTGGAGGACTTTTCTCCCTATTTTGTATAAATGGAAAAATACAATGTAATCTTGGGTGTCTTTCATGTAGCACAATGCGTTTCAGGTTCATCTACGTTGTACCATGAATCAGTAATTGTTTTACACTGTGTAATATGTCACATTTTTCTATGCATTAACCAGTCGATAGATGGTTCAACTCTTTCAGGTTGTTAGTGATTATGAATGTTACCATGAACAACTATGCCCAAATATGCGAGTAGACACATGTTTTCATTCCTTTGGGGCATGTACTCTGGAGGAAATTGTGAAGTCATGTCATATGTCTATATACAACATTGAGGGACCTCCCAACTATTTTCCAATATGGTTATCCCACTTTACGTAGTCTGAGACTTCCAGTTTCTCCACAGCCCCACCAACATTTCACACTGTCAGTCTTTGTGATAGCCATCGTCAACAGCTGGTTTGACCATGTAAATGAATAGCCCACAACATTTAGGATTTTCCCAACTTTTTAATTTGGAAAACTGGTAAATCTGCAATGAAGTTATAGTAATAGTACAGTGAACCTCTCTCATTCACCACCACTGCATCCGTTCCCACTCCAAGTGACCTGACAGGGACTCTAGAGCAGGGGTCCTCAAACTACGGCCACTGGCCACATGCGGCCCGCCAAGGACATATATTTGGCCCGCCGGGTGTTTTTGCCACCTCTGCCTGTCCTGCTTAGCAGCTGACTTGTCCAGTGTGCATAGGAATTTGTTCATAGTTTTTTTCAAAACTATAGTCCGGCCCTCCAATGGTCGGAGGGACAGTGAACTGGCCCTGTTTAAAAAGTTTGAGGACCCCTGCTCTAGTCACCATTGCTATCTGTCAGGCCGCACAGTTCACGCACATACACTGTGCATGATGTAAACGTGCATTTTCTTACAGGGGCATGTTACGCGCAAAAATATGTACATATGGTTTTTGTTCCCTAGATTGCGGAACCATTGTACAGTAAGTCAGTGACATCAAGATACATCATCTGTAAGTGTTTTTGAAGCTGTCACCAAAGAACAGGGATTGTCTTCTGTATCACAATCTAATCATTATGATCAGGAAAATTTAACATAAATTTAACAATACTATCACTTAACTTATATTCAGGATTTCTTGAGTGGCTCAACTGGTTCGTTTCTCAACTACTATTCAAAAGTCCGGCCCATGACAGAGGGCCACAAAAGCAAGCCAGGCCTCTGCTTTGGAAGAGCCACTCCAACACGCCTGGGATGGTCGGAGTCACCATCAACTGCATGGAAACTAATTTCTTAACACAGCTGCCATTTAAATCTCCCTGATTTACAGCATGAAGGAGCTTTTAAAAGCTCATGGGAAAACCAAAGGATAGCAGAATTTCACCAGGGACTTTCTGAAGTTGTTTCTTTTTAAACGGGTTTTATGGTTTGAGGCAGGGATTGTTTTGGGTCCATGATCCAATCAAGAACCACACATTATACTTGGTTACCACGTCTTCTTTTAAGTTCTAGGAAGTATGTGTGAGAGTGTGTGTCTCCAAAAAGTTTGTGGGAAAATGGAAATAAAAGTTGACAGCATTAAATTGAATTTGATGATAATTGTACAACTCCTCTTAGTATGACTGAACTACAGAATTATATGCCAATGAAACTGTTTAAAAAATACTAAAGTTTTTATGAGTAGGGGGGGAAAGAATATTAGTGTTTTTCCACAAACTTCAAGTTCCTTTTGATAATAAAACATTTGCCATTTAAATATTTTCCGTGCGTACAATTTAGTGGCTTTATCCATTCGTGTTGTGTAGCCATTGCCAACATTCAGTTCCATGTTTCCCAGCACCTTCACGAATCTCCACGTACCCTAAGCAGTGACTCCCACTGTTCACCTTTGTCCTTCCCTGGAGTCACTAGTACAGCACAAAAGCCCAGGGCTCGAAGCAGTCACACAGTCCAGGTAGCTGATGTAAATGAGAAACAGCCAATATTTGTCCTTCTGTGAGTGACTTATGTAACTCAGCGCTTTTTTAAGGTTGACTCATGTTACAGCATTTCTCTGTACAGCTGAGTAATATTCTGCTGACTGTACATGCCATCATGTTTAATCCAACGCCTTTGGGCTACTGTGGGTAGAACTGCCATGAGCAACGATGTCCTTGGGAGTAAGGTGACGGAGAGTTGTGGTTTTTATTCACATTTCTCTAATGATTATGGGATGGAACATCTTTTCATGTGCTTCTTGGTCATTTGTATTTCTGCTTTGGTGAACTGTCTACACACGACCCTGCCAGCCCTTTTTTAAATTGGGTTATCGTGTCAGGTGGTAAAACACTTTAATGAATTTTTAACATCCACAATTTGCTCTGTTCAACAGGATGTTATGCAACGTAGACATTGTACAAAGCACCTGTTATATATAGGCATTCCCATATAATTCACTTAAATCTCTGTCCTGCTGCTAACTCATAGCGACCCTGTATGGGGTGTCTATGACTGTAAACATAGGCAGAAACAGACTGGTGAGTTTGAACTCCAGACTTTGTGGTTAGCACTCCAACACCTAAACCACAATCGCACCGGGCTCCTGTAAATCCCCACTGGGACCGGAGGCTGGCTGTGCTGATGTGCAGCTGCCCAGGAATTACCATATAACCATGAAGGGGTGAGGAAGGCAGAGAGGGACCTGGCAGGGGGAGCTGGTTGCAGGTGCGGAAAGCCACCACACCACATCGATGTGGCCGCTTCTCAAAGAAGAACAGCTGCAACACCATGCCGAAGCTGGCGAGCACCCAGCCCGGCTGAGAGGAGCCGGCCGCCCCAGGAATGAAAGGCTGCTGGCCAGATGAATTCTGCCAGGAGGGGCCGCTCTAGGGGATGGAGTGCACCTGGGAGTCCAGCTGCTGGTTCACTCTGGGATTCAGTCTTTAAAACATACTGATGGACATGAAGCAAGGAACCAGGAGAGAGGTCTGAGGGGCGGGCCCCAATCCCACTACATGGACAGGTGCCCCTCCCCCCAGAAGAGTTTACCTCAGAGGACGGCACTGAAGCTGCAGCTCAGGGAGAGGGACATGTCTGATCAGAGCACAAGGGAGCAAATGAAGGGGGAGGAAGAGAGAGTGGAGCACATCCTGGCCCGCCAGGCCTGGAGGACAATATCCCGCTCAGAGCAGCCAAAGCAGAGAGAGGACCATAGGGCCGGCCCCACCACAAGACATGGCATCCTTCACTGACCCATGATTTTAAAAATACATCTTAAAGCTGTCTTCTTCTAAGAAGTTTATGGTTCCAAGTCTTACACTTAGGACCTTGACCCAGTCTGATTTAATTTCCCTACGTGGTGTGAGGTGGCTTCACTGCACCATTTTTAAGGGCAGTCTGTCTCCAAGGAATGGTCTTAGTGATCTTGTTGAAAATCCAAAGTGACTGGAGTTTAGTCCTGAACTCCAACTTTATCTACCCCATTGCTCTTTATGGTTATCATTACAAACCTAGCAGATGCTTTTCTTTTTTAATCATCTTATTGGGGGGCTCTTACAAATCTTATAACAATCCATCATTCAATTGTATTAAACACACTTGTACATATGTTGCTGTCAACATTTCCAAAGCATTTTCTTCCTACTTGAGCTCTTGGTATCAGCTCCTCTTTTTTGTCCCCTCCCTCTCCTCCCCTCCCACCATCATGAATCCTTATGAATATTATTCCATGTCTTAAAACTGCCCATTGTCTCCATTCACCCATTCTAACAGACTCTTTCTAGCACATTTTGAATTCGGAAAGTATGGGTCCTACGACTTTTTTCCTCTTCAAGACTGCTTTGCCTACTAGTGGCCCCTTGTCATTCTCGGGGCGCCCTGGTGGCAGTGTGAGCTAGGTGTCAGGCTACTAATACCAAGGCTGGCAATTCAAGCCCACCAGCCAAGCCACTGTGGGGTCAGAGACAAGGCTATTTGCCCCCAAAAAGGACTGCAGTTCTAAAAACCTTACATATTGCTCCCTCCGAGTAGGACTCGATCCAATGGCAATGGGTTTGACTTGGGGTTTTGGCTTTTCCATTTCTATAAAGGCAGCTATTGAAATGTTGATGGGGATTGTGCTAAATCTCCAGATTACTTTGTGTAGGACTGACATCTTAACAATATTAAGTTTTCCAATCCAGAAACACAAAATGCTCTTCCATTTATATAGGTCCTTAATTTCTTACAAGTAGTTTGATACTTTACAGTGTCTAAGTTCATTTCCTCTGTCACATTTACTGTTAGATGCCACTGTAAGAGGACTTGTTCCCTTAACTTCCTCTGCAGAATGGGCATTGTTGATGCACAGGGGCCAACTGCCTTGGTGTCTTCATCTCAGATCCTGCCACCTCACTAACTTCACCTATTGGCTCCACTGCTTTCTTGTGGATTACTGGGGGCCGGGGAGAGGGGTTCTACATATAGGATCATGTCACCTGTGAAGAGGGATCCGTTTACTTCTTCCCAATTCAGATACCCTTTACTGCTTTCTTTTGCTGAATTGCTCTGGCCAGGACTTCAGTGACGAGAGCAGATATTCTTATCTTGCTCATGATTTTAGGTGGAAATACGTCTCAGTGTTTCCCCAGTGAGTGGAATCACAATGATGTAAACTGTGAATTTTTAATAAATACCCTTCATCAGGAGGGTGGATTTCCCTTCTATGCATAGCTTTTTTAGGAGTTTTATTAGGAACGGGTGTTGGGGATTGTAAAGCACCTTCGTGTCCACTGAAATGATCATGTATTACATGGATTGTTTAATAATGAACCACTCTTGTATTCCTGGGAGAAGTCCTACTTGATTATGAGATATAATCCTTTTAATATGATTTTGGATTATGTTTGCTAGTATTTGGCTGAAGAGTTTTGCACTTATAATCTGAGGATTTATAGAAATGACCACCCAGGAAGGACTCCTTCTGGCCATCGTGGTCTTTGGTTCGGGTACAGCACACCTCCTTTGTTGCTCACTTCCTCACTGATACTGTTTGCACTTTATCGCTTTGTAACAAACCATTGTGATGCCCTCATCTTTCCATCCTGTGTGCATTCAACATAAGTCTGTATTCATGAGTGGTTACCATGAAGATTACATTTATAAAGTCCTGCTTTAAACTGATACTCAAGTAACATTCCCGACATGACACTCAAGTAAACCATAGGACTTTCTGATTGGAAATGGCTAGTACCAGTCCATTTCAGCACACGATTGCCTAGAATAGCAATGTTATGCGTATTGACAATTTCCAATTTCCCAAGACTCAGACTTCTTTGTACCTTCAAAATTCCAACCATTAATTGGTGTTTGCAGCTATTTCTTCCCACTTGGAGTCGCCGCCCATCAACAAATAAAGGCCCCCAGGCTTTGCTCCATCCTGGTCCTTGGGGTCGATTCTCCTTGGAGAGGGCAGCTCTTCCTCCTGTTCTCAGTACCTTCCAACCTGCGGGGGCTCATCTCCGGGCCGTACTTGGGAGCGTTCTTTTACTCAGGAGGTTTTCTGAGTAAGACGATGCTTCGATGCTGCCCATGGGGCGGGCTGTCAGTGGTTCACTCCTCTGAAGTGGACAGCCTATGCCTTCTTCACAGGCTCTTCTTAGTCTGGAAGCTCTACTGACATCTGACTCTGGGTGCCCCTACTGATACTGGAAATAAAGCTTCCAGCATCACGGCCATCACCGCATGACTGACTGACAGACACATGTGGTGGGCAGGACCAAGAGGCGGTCTGCTCTGTTGTACACAGGGTCACCGTGCAACGGAAGCGGCGCTCACGGCACCCAACAGCAGCTGCAGTAACACGCAACTCTCTTCTTGATGACGGCAACACACGGACAGATGTGCTTGATACAGTTGATGGATGGAATGTGGTAAGAGCTGTAAGAGCCCCAATAACATGATTAAAAAAAAAACACCCACTATTTCTGTATCATGCCCCACCATGTATTTGTTGTTTTATCTTTAACACCTGTTATATCTGTATATATAATGTGTCCTGTAATCTAAATTTATACCTATTTTTAAATTCATTTGTCATGATTAAAGCATGAAGGACAAAAAAACTAGTTTTATTGACCAATCTAAATGACTGTAAACATTGCCCCTAGACTGGCCCATAGTTACCTCAACTTTTCTGTCTGTGTGGCTTCCAGCGACTGTCTTCTGTCCCGGCTCAGTCCCACCTGAAGTACCTTCGGGAGCATTTCCTCTAGAGAAAATCCAGTGGTTACCAACCCACTCCACACTTTGGTTATCTGGAAATGTCTTAATTCTTCCATTCAAAAGTATCTTCCATTCTCGAAGGAGAGCTTCGCCAAATACAGCATTCCAGTTTCAGTATTTTAAATATGTCATTCTACTGCCTTCTGGCCTCGGGGTCTGAGGAGACATTGGTCCTTAATCTTAACTTTTTTTTAATCATTTGAGAGCTCTTACAATGCTTATTAAAATCCGTACATCAACTTTATCAGGCATATTTGTACATGTACTAAGTATCCTTTGTGTGTGACCATTCATGTCTCTCTTGCTGCTCTTTACCTTTATTATT